GAAACATAAATTTGTCACATCCCCTTTCCCATTCGTCCCAAAAGTTGGTCATTGGCCGCAAACATTTGCACCATTTAGACAGTAATTTTAGCGGGTCCATGTTGAACTTGTTTGACCCCAACGATGTCACCGTATGCCTGTTTACAGAGAACTCGTTCTAAGCTTTCAAGAGAGCAACATTGACTCATGCGCAGGTTTTTGCACCACTTTGTATGCAGTCGTTAGTTGAGAGATAATTCTATGGCGGTGGATAATTATAATGTTAAGTAAATATAAGCGATATTCATATACGGATTGTGGTGTGGATAAAAATTATGTGTTCTCTATTTATTGATGGTTCAGATCAGGTAACAATTATGTATTGTTTTTTTTTTTCTTTCTGTATCTAGGTCCAGACTTTTTTTAAGGACGGATAATCATCGAATTACTGCTCAACTGCCTGGGTGAGGCGGAAGGGAGTGTCAGATTCTTACTGACTAAAAACCACCCCATTCCGTTTCCTGCACTTCGAGCCGGAGCCCCGGTAACCCGTTAGTTTCTCAGCGAATAGCCGACTAGGCTAGCATAAGCGTAGTTTAAATACTATGTTGGCTCAAAACAAAAGGCGTACGTGGAAATGGAATGGAAACTACTCGATTTTTTTTTTACTGGCATCGAGTTTAGTATTCACACGAATTCTAGTTATCTTATCAAATACATAAGTAACATTGTCATTTTAAACTTATCAAACTATTCCGACTTTTTGGTTCATTTCTTTCGCCGTACAAACTTAATGAATCATTTTATCTTCGAGTCAAAAGTCAGATGTGAACGTCAGTTAGATTCTAACGTCATAATATATTAGTATGTTGCGTAATAATATTATTATTTATATCAATTATTATTATTAAATATGTATCTACGTGCCTTACTGTACTGTGGGTAGGGTACACGGCCACACATCAATCTATACAAAACCAGTTTATCCTGGTGTCGCGTCGCATCATCTTTCCGCACATTTAACGTTCAGTTTATACTGGTTATGTAAAGCTCGATGAGTAGCCGTGTGTACAATGATCATCTAAAAAGGTTTTAAGGTTCTGGACCTGCTTCAGAATGTCTGTCCTGAATAGCCGCAATGACCCAGATTTATAATGTAGAACGTTATTTGTATGAACTATCTACCATATAAGTTTACCAGGAATTTGTACGAAGATGGTGAATCAGGCGTTAAGAATTTTGAATTTAAATCTTATGAACAGGGAGTATAAGTGCATTTTCTCTTGCGTTATTGCTTCATTGATGGAGTGGGCCTCAGTAAATACAACTGCCAGGTAAGAGTTCTCCGGTTTGTTTTGGGTCTAGCAAAGAATTATTGGTATATTGAACAGCTCGCGAGGAAGAGCCCCTCTGTAGCTCGAAACTAGTAGAGCTTTTCTCAGTATATTCACGTGAGTAACCCGCGATTTTTTAGTTAATTTAGTATGTCTCACGACAGTTATTATATCTAAAAAAACAAAAACTATTCGGTTTCCGATTCTCTGAATTGTGAGCACAGGGACACGGAGTTTGGAATCGTGCCCAGTAAGCCAGTGTATGCTCATCTTGAACCTATTACGTTGGTATTATTATACATAATTTATTTTGTAATATTAAAGACAATTGGCCGTTACATGAAACTACAATTCTACCAACCTTTTTGAAAAAAGAACTGTAGTTATAAAAAAAATATTCGTTAAGGAAACAAAACCAATGTTATCAGAACCATAAATTTTAATGAACTTGCGATAGTTAAACGTTCTATTAAGGTTTAATTCCTCAATACTGCGCTTGCGCATTGATAGGCGATAGTTACATAACGTCACGTGTGTAGGGCATGATATGAGAGAGAAAGTTTGTGTTCGTATCTCAAAAATTGCTGATCTAATTTGAATAGTACTCTGTTTATTGGATAGTTCAATGTTGTACTAATTAAGATTAATTTAAATTGATTTTTTGTTGAGATGAGATACATACGATTATGAGTCCCGTTGTGACTCGAAATTAGTCGAACTAATTTGTATAATAAGCGTTTTATTTTTTTATACTTCTGTAGTATTTTAATACAAAATTAATGAAACGGGTTATTCGAGTCTCTAATATGATTATCGGCGATAACAAATCGTTTGAAATAAAATATGTTTGTAAACAAATAAGTATTCAATAAGTGTGACTAAATACAGGTATGCGAGTCCATTCATAGCGGCTCCATACAAAATCAAATTAAATCAGTCACAGAGTCACAGTTATGAAAGTCTCGAGTTTTTTTTTTAATTTAAAAAGACCTTTGCCCCACACTACGATTTTCTCCTGTGTCGTGGGTGCGTTTACTAACACACAAGTTCACATACACATGACACTCAGACTCGGATCCCCAATTTGTGTATCACACAAAGAGTTGCTCCGTGCGGGAATCGAACCCGCGACACGTTGCGTGGTAGCCGGTTGCCCAGCTACCGCACTAACCGTGTTGTCGGTTTTTGACTTTACTGGAAGATATTTGGGAGTTATTTTAAAGTACTTCGGAACGATTCGCAGATTTATTAGTAGGTAACTATTTACTATGTTTAGTGAAAATTAATAGTCATTCATTTGATAATTATGTTATAGTTTTGTACAATAGTCAGCAGATCTTCAATCTGTCAAATTTATTCATTGGATTTTCGACTTTTTCAATATAATATAGTTAGACTGTAGTCTGCGCAACATGGCCGCGACCGCGCACTCTGTTTTTGAGGTAGAGCCTCTCTGTGGCTCGAAACTAGAAGAGGTTTTCTCAGTATATTCACGTCAGTAGCCCACGGTTTTTAGTTAATTAAGTATGTCTTACGATAATTATTATAAAACACAATTTAAGTTGTAATAATATGTTGAAGAAATAATAGAGAAAGACGGAAAACTATGCGTTGCTTGGCTGGCCAACATACAAAATGAGCACCAAAATTAATATATGAGTTCTATACTTTTTATTTTATAATGAAACAATGTCTATGTGTAATATCTATACATTGTCGTAGGTATATACCCCTACATAATAATATTATTATGTTCGTATGATCGGAATGTGCCGAGTAAAGCAAATTATAAAGATGTTATTGCCGTGTCTATGATAAAAACAGCTGATGGTGTTTTTCTTTGATATCATTTTAAAATTGGTAATAGAAGTGATATCAATCAATAGGTTTGACTCGAAATATTTCAAAACCTTAATTATTATTTTTTTCGACTAACTCACGTAATTGTTTGACGACGATAAAATCTCAATAATCGCACGGAGTCTGGAATTGTGCCCGATATAAGGCAATAGGCTCACCCCCTATTACATGGGACTCATAACATAAAAGTGAAAAGTGGGTGCTACATTGTACAGTGGCTTTAAGTGCCGTAATGTGCACCTCTGCCTATCCCTTTGGGGATAAAAAGGCGTGATGTTACGTTATGAGTAGATCACCTGATGGTAAGCAATCGGCGTCGCCCATGGACACCTGGAACACCAGCGGCATTACAAGTGCGTTATCGGCCTTTTGAGGATTAGGAGTTTAAGGATCGTTGGGGATTCAGGAATTGGGGAGATTGGGGAAGGGGAGGGTAATTGGGCCTCCGGTAACCTCACTCATACGACGAAACACAACGCAAGCGTTGCTTCATGTCGGTTTTCTGCTCGGCCGTGGTATCACTCAGGTCGAGCCGGCCCATTCGTGCCGAAGCATGGCTCTCCCACACTTATAGCACTTTTGAAACGTCAACAAATACAACAAAATAAATTATAATCTGTCAGCCAGTCCGTCAGTGAAGCTAGCTAAAGCTAGGTGCTCATTCCAAAATGTAGATTCGAATGAAGAAGAACGAGCAAGAAACTCCATCCGTTACTCTTTTTAAAAAAGTATGTACTACAATGTCTCTGATACATATTCCAATATTGTACGTATATGTGAGAACAATGTACATACAAATTACAAGTGGAGAGAGTTAAAGGTTCTGTCCTTGCGAGCATAGCCGCAGGTTAAAGTTCTACCTAATTTTTATAAATATTATGTTTATATTATCTGTGGCAAGCTGGCCATTTATGTTCTTCTTTTGTTTACGAAATATATGCAGTGTTCTTCTGACTAGTTCGTTTAATTCTCACGTATAATAATTATTGTATTATATATTGAAAATATATAATAGTAGTAAACCTAGGCCCTTTGTCATTACTACGTTATTGACCTCATTGGTAAAATCCTTCATATAACCGGATATTGTCGTCACAATAAAGGTATATACGTGGAGGAAGGAAATGGATTGTAGGGCACTCGTCTTGATTACCCCCATGAGACTAGTGCATGAGGTTATGATTATAAACATAACATGTAGGTTGGTGTACCTAACTCAAAACGGGACATTTGTTTATTTAGATTCAGTCAGGCATCTAGCAGCTAGATCCTATGATAGAACCTGTAACCATAAACTTTGTGTCCATAATAAAAAAATTAACATTATTAACTGCACAAAAATGTACGTACTTACAGTTTTTTCAATTGTACTTTGTTAAAAATAAGCGTATGTATGACGCTGTATCGCTCTCGTATACAGGACCCGTCGGAACAGTCGTCGCACAGGTTCAACTATTCAAATTTTCGCGTCGTTTCCAAAACGGGACAATCTTGCGTCCCAGAGCTCATTTCGAGGACCACGGGACTCGTGATTACAAAAAGGGATAGTCCTGTTTGAAACGGGACGTCAAGTCACGTTAGGTGTACCCCAAAGGAAAAGATAGAGGTAGTTGGGAAGTCCTAAAACTGCGACCATCTATCGAGTGACGGTTTTTAAGTTTTTGGTGTCTGCGATTTTCAAGCTATTTGCCCGATGTGGGCATCATGGTAAACCCTATATAAATTTGTAAGAGAAACAATGCCGCTTTTCCGGGTCCATTTTACGACCTCTTAAAAAGGTAGAAGATAAACAAGATAAAATAGAACCAAATAAAATAATAAACTCACCCATAGTAGCCATAACGAACTGGTTGGCGACACCTCCATGTTTGAGGCGCGCGACCCATCGCACCGGAAGTACACCGAACATGATGCGTGTACGCAGCCGCGCCGCTTCCGGTATTGCGCGCGAGTCCGTCTCTCAGTGGCGCATGATTTGTTTTAAGGAATCTGTGGAAGAACACAATACAGTCAAATATTATTTTATGTGATTTAAAATAGGAATCGTATGTCTTAACTCTACATAGTATTATAATTTTTAAATGTTCAGTATTCCAACTGTTAAGCTATTCTAAAACAACAATTTGAATTTTCGAAGTGATCGTCGATCGTCGAGATTATTCTCACTATGACTGAATGACATGGCCGACCGCGATCAAGTTCACTTGGATCTTTTGAATTGAAAGTTATACATAGAATAGTCTAGCAGATCAAAATTGGATTAGATATGCCGTAATCCCCTCTTAAGATTGAGGTCTTTGTAGACCAGTGTACGTATTCATTTTAGATGATGATCAATATTTTGGGTTCAAATTATTGATCATCGTCCAAAATGAATACATAAATTATATTAATAAATTGCATCATTGATGCAGATGAATTGTATGGGTGGATAAAGAAGAAAGAAGGATCAATTCCGGTAAAGCAAAACCGTCCCAACATTATTTGTAATACAGATTATTATGCACGATTTTTGAAATCGATGTCTAATCGCCATCTCTCCGAAAACATAAATAAAAAGTTAGTCCAGATTGTCACCCAAACGTTTCAGATAGCTGTTATAACCAGTCGGAAACCCAAAACATCTATTTTTGCTTCACAACTTCGGATATAGGTCACCCATTTTAAATGAATGCACTAATAACCTTGACCTAGACCTTAAGATAGTCTAAGGTTGTCTGGGTGTGTACTCATTAGCATTGCATAGTTTGATAAACTGAAATAGTCCATTGTACTCTTTTATTAAGGTATTGTATTCTCTATTAAGATCTTCTGATGTGCATTGGAGCGGTTCGATCTTAGCGTTGGAATTTTATGTGTCAACAGGCCGTTGAGACTTAGCTTTAACCAATGTTTGTTTTACGTCATAAAAAGAAGCGTATAAGAATAAAAAAAATGGAAATATATAATCAAAATCGTGTTTTAATAAAGTAGGATATATTTGTGACTGCGTTCGGCGCTGTGTTGGCCGGCTCCAATGAATCAACCAATAAGAACGCAGAACGCGGTCTCGTTTCGATTACTTTAAACGTAAAATAAACTCGGCTTTAAAACTGTGATCTCCAATCCGCTCGCAAGGACCTATATTACACCAAACCCTCTTCCGTAGAGGCAATCATAGTCCACAGTCAGACTTTCACGGGTGACGAATTATTTAGAGCACAAACACATATACGGAGCATCAATGGAAATTAAAACAAAACACTATCACAATTGAACGTTTTATCTACAGCATGATCTATTTTGTCAACCGTATTGTAGGTTAGATGTATCATCATTCCAAAAAGAGAACAATTGCCGAAACATATGACTGTCTCGTTAATTTCAGAGTTCCCGTAGTTTGTTCCGAAATTTAATTAGCGTTGGTCAGCGGCATCGTGAAATTAGATCATTTTGTACAATGCGCTCATTGTTTAGCGTGGTACAAGTGCTCCAACACTAATTTCTAGCGTATGAACGTGATGACGTTTTATTTCACGTTTTAATTGTGTTTATTTAGAGAGTTTGACTTTGAAACTGATAGTAAACTATTTGGTCTACTTGTAAATATATGATCACACCCAAGGGGTCTTTCTTTGTGATCTCCTAGAGACGCAGTACGCTGTGGTTTCAACCTTTATGTTGTAATACAAATTAGAGATACTAACTCTCAAGTCAACGGTCAGTCTCACAACCGTCTCACTACCTACCAGGGCTACCTAGATCCTGTTAGCAAAACGACACACGACAATTAAGGCCAGTTTTATCATTCCCTATAAAAACTTAAGTCTGACTAAATTGAGCTCAACATAATCTGAGTTTAAAGAGCCGTATAGATCTGGGGTTATCGTAAGTATTATCTTCAGAATACCTTTGCAAAGGTAGATATGTAGATAAGACCAATATAGTTAGGGTTTAATGATACAGGGTCCAATTTTTCAATTATCAGTTAATTCCTGTGGAATAAAATTGACAGTTGATAGTTTTTCATCATCATCATCATCAACACCCTATAAGTGCCCACGGCTGAGCAAAGCCTCTTCTCACACGGACAAGGTTTGAGCATTAATCACCACGCTTGCTCAATGCGGGATGGCGATTTCAAACTTATAATTTCAAATTATAAGTGAGGTTTCCTCACGGTGTTTTTCCTTCACCGTTTGTCAGTTGTGTCCAACTAATCTTAGAAAGTACATATAGCTCGGAAAAAAGTCACATTGATACTCTTGTCGTTGGTAGGTTTCGAAGCCGCACCATGAAAAATGGGCGTCTTAACCTCCGGCAGTTTGTAGTATAGAAGAATTGTCAAAAATTGAAAATTATTCCTTAGTTAAAATTTATCTGGCTATGGAAAATTGGCCCTTATTCATTTATTTCTTTGAGCTTTGTTCTGACTGCATTCCATAGTTGTCAAGGGAAATAATCAGTATCAGTTATGTAAGTACCATGTACTATGTAGCTTTATTTGTACCAGGAGTATATATCAAGGTTACTATAACACCATTCACTTGTGGCAAAGGCGATTGATATTATTAAAAAGAAACTGTATTTTAAAGAGTTTAGAGCTTATTGTCATCTGACATGGATTATGATTGGTGTAGGTTGAGTAGAATATGGCTGTTTCCATAGTGATTTTCATATTATTCGAATACTTCAAAATACTTGTTGGTTTCCAAAATGATTGATTTGTAAAATGTACTTTGTGAAGTTGTGAATGGAGGAACTGATTGACATAGAAGACATAGAGGGAGGCCCTATCATCAACAATCGACATTTTGTAGTTAATATGAGAATGATGATAAAATGGTGTAAGTCTATAAAGAACGAAGGGCAATTGGGTACTTTCCTTAATCAAAAATAAATTAAAAGTATTAAAAAAATAATCACACTTTCATTAATTGATTAGAGGTACATGATCAACTAAGTTTTAGTATTTTTCCAGCAAATTTTTAAGAAATAAGTATGTCGTTTGACGTTTAAAAACGTGACGTCACAATACACAATCTCGTACAAAATTCATAAAAAACGGTCGTTTTAACAGTTCGAATACAGTATTGAATTTGACTAGTTGGCATAAGTATCCAATTCCAACCAACGTGTCTACCCAAGAAAAGTCCAGAAGAAAGATCAATCACGCTAACCTAGACCCTTCTAATCACTACCACGGGGTCAAGTCTGGCGTGATAAGCCAAGTCTAACATATGATAGTTCATGTAGTGGCTTATCAGTTGGTGCACACGTGCTAATGTTATCTCTGCATAGTTTGACTGAGAATTAAAAAGAAATATTGCTTGTGTGACCTCGGGTTTATTAAAATAGGGAAACTGATTTTAATGAAATTTGGTACTTAGACACAAACAAAGAAAGGTAGTTAAAACATTGTTGAAAAAAGAGACATTTCAAGTTTGTGTTAACTATCGCGCTGCTACTGCCGTGACACGGGTCGCCGAATGCTGCTTATGAATATGAGCGTCTTTTTTTTTTAAGGGGCGAAAATCATCGAATGACTGCTGCCGCCTGGGTGAGGCGGGAGAGAGTGTCAGACTCTTACTGACTAAAAACCACCCCGTTCCTTCTCCTGTACGTCGAGCCGGAGCCCCGGTTACCCGTTAGGTTCTCCGCGACAATATGAGCGTTTAGCATGGCTTGAAACTAATCAAGTTCCTCGATGATAATTACGTGAGTAAGCCGAAAAACGTAATATCTATATTTTAAGTTTCCTAAACTATAATGCGTAATGTGAACTTGTATGTCTGTAAACGAACACACGACATAGAAGAAAATCCTAACCTAAAAGTTATACAAACTTAAAACACCGGTAATAGAACTATTGGTCGAGTGATCCTGTTGCGTCCCGGTGACTAGGTATCTAAACAATAATTTAGTTTCCTACAATTCTGTCCAAACAATGTTCTTAGAGGTGATCTCCTAAGAATAGTTGGTTATCATTATTGCAACACAATAAGACATTTCGATGAGATGCGTAATGGCAAAGACGCGTTCGTTGTCGGCTTGTTGAAAAACATTCAATTACATACGCACTCCAACGAATTAATGTCAATCAATCATTGTATTAAGCATTCCAATGCGTAGTGTAACATTCTCTCAACATTTGTGTGATGCATGTTAGATAACAGTGATTTTATGAACTTGTCACATGCGTGAGACACGTACGTCGAGATGTAGTTGCATTGTGACGTACTTGGAATTAGTGTGTTACCTATTTGGCTGTATGCGTCATTTTCATTTTGTTACGTCAATGGCAGTTGGAACTCCGAGCGTAAGGTTCCGCGCTCGACTCAAAGAGCCATCAGACCACCACAGATGGGGCCCAATAGGACTGATGCCGATACGGAGCCGCGGAGGACTTAACGGGTTACCGGGGCTCCCGCTCGAAGGGCCGGAGTACGAACGTGGTGGTTTTTAGTCAGTAAGAGTCTGACACTCTCTCTCGCCTCACCCAAGGCGAGAGACATTGGATGATTGTATCTACTCTTTGAATAAATGATGAGGTATGCAGAGACTAATAAACTTGGTAATAATTGTTATTATCTCTGATTAATTGATGAATTATTGTCTAGTTTATTAGTCTCTGCATACCTCCATGGGAGACAGGCGTGAAGTTATACAGGTGTACGCATGTTTATTATATTTTCTTCACCATACCAGCTTTACACATATAAACGAAGATTTGTCTAAAATAAACCTGACATTATTTTCAAACTACTAAACACAATAAAATGGCGCACCTATCAACAGGTTTCTCCTTGCAAATCACATAAATTAAACAACACTACACAAGGCAATAAGAAAATTATTTTTATCATTCATACCTCTAAATATAAATAACTTCATTACGTAGTATATCTAAAAACAATCCACGTACTGACAACCACTACTTCTTTTAAGTTTTTAACAGGCACAATTGTCTATTAGTTAGAACTGTCAAAGTACATAATATTACCTACTTT